AAAAAAAAAAAAAAGGCAAATAAACAAACAAAAAAATGGCACCCAGAGCCACTGTGCCCATAAATTGAGATAAAGATTATGGAGGCTCGCAGACGGTGGCTGGGACTCAAAACGATGCAAATGTCAGTCCCTAGCCTCTCTTAGTAGACCTATGTGTCCAGGTGCTGACTCCTGAGTTGTTCTGTGGCTACCAGCTTGGGCCAAATTCTGCCAATGGCACAGCTTGTGAATTGTCCTGGGCTTCCTAGATCAGGAACCACAGTTATCTAAACACTGGGCCAGTTCATGTCCTCACTGTGTCCTTGTCTGTGACCCCAGTGGGGAGAGCTGGCTGGTTGGGGTGGAGACAAGCCAACTGCTCTCAGAGGCCCATCGAGGCCAAGCCCTTGCTCTGGGCCAGCTAAGTATCTGATGTGCATCGGGTGGAGGAGGGGTTTATCAAGATGAGTGACAGTTGCCTCCCTCCAAGATGCTCCCCATCTGGTGGGGAAGGCAAGCTCATTATGGCCCGCCTCATCCTAGGGCTCGTGGACTGTACTCTCCAGGGATGTCCCCATTGCCAGAAGGCTTACACTGCAGTCCCATGGTCGTCTATCACCTCTGGCTGCCTGCACCCAGTGCCCTTCCTCTGCAGCCCTTTGGCAGGCCCACACTCCCTCTCAGAGGAAGGTTCCCAACTGGCTCCCTGGCTGCCCTGCGCCATCTCCGGAGGAGGACATTTCCCCACTTCCTCGTCCTCCCCAAACCCCAGTGCGCTCACTGCTCTGGGCTTGTGAAATAGCAAACAGCTGCTATGACCAGGGCTGCCCAGACCCCAGGGGCCCAGGGAAACGGGCCAAGGAGAACTTGGAGAAAGAGCTCTTAATAACATGCCTTCCCCAGGCTGCGCCGAAGAAACTTCTCCTCACAAATCATTCCATAAACACTTAGCCGGCTCTCAGGGAAGCGTGCATGCTCTCACCCGCCTATTAGGAGGCTCCTCACAAGTAAATTGAGACCAGGCAGCAGGAGCCTGTGCCAAATCCCCCTTCCTGCCCTCTCCCACACGCAGCCCCCTCCCCTACCCTGGGCCTTCAGCTTCAGGGCCAGGGTCTCCTTGCCTGTGTGCCCAGTCTCTCTGCAGGCTCTGGCCCTCTACCTGCTGGGTGGAGGGTGCTCTGTTTCTCTGGAAACCAGCCCTCTCTTCATCCCCAACTGCTGGGTTTCCAGGGGGCTCTCCTGGGTCTCTGTGCAGGCCCAAATCGCACTGAGACTTCTGAGAGCCATGCCCCAGGCCAGGCGTGGACAGACAGGGCCGACCACACCCCCACTCTGTCCCAGCCACCCTCAGCTGAGGCTGCTGGTGCCTCGCAGGCTGGGACTACTCAGTAGGGAAATAACTCCAGGTTCATCCAAGTCACGAGCTGGAAAATCCCTCCCATCCAACAATCCCCCTCCAGGGAGAGAGTTGTGCAAACTAGTCCTCTGGCTAATATCCAGCACTTGGCTAATATCCAGCAGGGACGGGGAGCTGCCTGATGGTTCTGAGGTTGACACATTGGCTTGTAGGTTAGCAGTGTGCTCGCGTAATGGCATTCGTGAGGGTCTTCGAGAACAATAGCAGGGGCTGGCACTCCAATACCGTTCCTTGTAATTGGCTTTGGAAAACACTTCCGGGATGACTGCCCCCTTCTCAAGGTCTGTCCAGTATCATTTGAAGAACCAAAACTATACCAAACAGCAATCGACAGTGAAATAAATAAAACGTTCAGATGAAAATAAACATGCAGATTTGTAGGCACTGAAATTAGCAATAGATGGCCTTGAGAGACAGACTTTGGGCCCAGTCAGGTCCCAGCCTACCACTTACCAGAAGGCTGATCAGGAGCAAGGTAAACCTTGGGCCCAGGTCTTGGGGTAAGTCTTGATTCAAAGCTATTCCAGGCAAGGAAGCAAATCTAGGCCCAAAGGAAGAGTCAGGCTTCTGGTGCCTTGGCTGTAGTAAAAGAAAGAATGGAAGCAGCGGTTCCAGAGGGGGGCTCTCTATGGCGATGATGATGGTGATTGTGATGGCAATGATGATGACAATGATATGATAATGGTGATGATAGTGCTAATGATGGTGATGGTGATGATGGTCATGGTCATGGTCATGGTCATGGTGAAGGTGATGGTGAATATGATGGTGGCGACAACAGTGAGTGATGACAGTGATGGTGACGATGGTGATGCTGACAGTGATGATGATAGTGATGATGGTGATAATGATGACGATGATGGTGGTAATGATGGTGGTGATAACAGTGAATGATGATGGTGATGGTGAAGGTGATGGTGATGGTGATGGTGAAGGTGATGGCGGCAATAACAGTGAGTGATGACAGTGATGGTGACAATGGTGATGCTGACGATGATGATGATAGTGATGAGGTGATGGTGACAATGATGACGATGATGGTGGTAATGATGGTGGTGATAACAGTGAATGATGATGGTGATGGTGATGTTGAAGGTGTTGGTGAATATGATGGCGGCAATAACAGTGAGTGATGATGGTGATGGCGATGTTGAAGGTGATGGTGAATGTGATGGTGGCGATAACAGTGAGCAATGACAGTGATGGTGACAATGGGGATGGTGACAATGATGACGATGATGGTGGTAATGATGGTGGTGATAACAGTGAATGATGATGGTGATGGTGATGGTGATAATGATGACGGTGGTGGTGGTAATGATGGTGGTGATAACAGTGAGTGATGATGGTGATGGCGATGTTGAAGGTGATGGTGAATGTGATGGTGGCGATAACAGTGAGCAATGACAGTGATGGTGACAATGGTGATGCTGACAGTGATGATGACAGTGATGAGGTGATGGTGAAAGTGATGACGATGGTGGTGGTGATGATGGTGGTGATAACAGTGAATGATGATGGTGATGGTGATGGTGATAATGAAGATGATGATGATGGTGAGGGTGAGGGCAGCTACCATTCCTAGGGCATCTACTTGTGCCAAGCATTATGATGTACTTTCATTTTTGTGAATGTTCACCACGACTCTGTAACTCGTAGATAGGATGCTGAGGTTCAAAAAGTTGAATTCAGTTGTCCAGTGTCACATAAGGAGGCAGAAAGGACAAAATGGAAGCCCAGGATTTTCTGACTTCAAGATCCAATGACAGCGGACCTCTTTTCCAGACCTGAGACAGAAGTGTCACCTCTGGAAACTGAGGAAAGTGGACACTCCTTCACAGCATGCGATCTGTGGGGCAGACCACAGCCTCTCTCAAGCCCCATCGTCTCAGCTGGCAGGGGCCTGAGTTTCCACCACGGGGGCTCTGCCCCTCTATGTTTGACACAGTCCTTTTCAGACATCTGTCTCCTGTACATCCCTGGGGGTCAGGGGACTTTTAATTAGAAATTCCTCAACTTGGCAAAGAACACCATGACAGCCTGCCCACCAGCATGCCTGTCCTCATGCCATACCCTACACTGGGCCCCAGGTCGTCCATAGTGCTCTATCTGCATTCCCACCTGCAGGCTCTTACTCACGCTGGTTCTTTCCCCTACAATGCCTTTCCCGCCTCCTTCTATTGGCATCCTACCCATTCTTCAAGACCAACTCCAACTCTACTTCTCCCCTGAACTTTTTCTCATTCCTCACCTATGGTAAGGTGACACAGAAGAGGAGAAAAAAGCACCAGCTCTTGCTTTGGAAAACCTGGCCCTAGCACTCAACTACTGTGTGGCATGAATGAATCACCTTGCTTCTTTTAGGCTCGGTTTTCTGTGTATAAATTGGGCTAATGATCCTGACTTGTGAACAAGTACAATGAGTAAACAGGGTACAGAGACAAAAGTTCTCTGTAAGTGAGAGAGCGCTATGAGGATCATCATCATCTCCTCCTCCTTCTTTTTCTTCTTCTTTTTCATTTTGCCAGAAAGAAAGAGAGAGAGAGGAAGGAAAGTGAGAAAGCATCCTCCATGGGGCATAGTCACGCCACTATCCCTTCTCCCCCATCTCTCCCTCCTTTCAGAATGTTGATCATGTGCACACATGTACCCAGCACATTTCTCAAGTCACCAGGTCCAGGATTTGAGCAACATGGTCAGCCATATTGGATCCAGTGGCCTTAACCACCAGGCCATGGGCTGGTCCCATAAGTGCTGTCCTAAGCCACTAAGTTTTTAGACATTTGTTACAGCATCCAACAGAGAATTAAAACAGAGAGCAAGGGGGCAGGCAAGTGGCATGGTGGTTAAGGGTGCTGGAATCCCACATGGCTGACCATGGTTCAAGTCCCAGACCTGGTGGCTTGCTCTTTCTCACTTTCCCTCTCTTTGTCTCTCTCTGATCAAAACTGGAAAATAATAATAATAATAAATAAAGTTAAATAAAATAATTCTTTTTTTAAAAAAGTCCCCTATTACAATCTTTTTTTTTTTTGCCTTTGGCTGGACATTGGACAAAGACTGCCACTTTCGGTCCCTATAACAATCTTGGGAGATGGGAGCAATCATCCTTAGGTTCCAGATGAGGAAATGGAGACTTAAGTAACTGACAACTGTCTGAAGTCACCTAGTTACTAGGAGAGGGGCCAAAATTCAAACCCTCACCTATCTGACCTGCAGCTGTACTAGGGGCCTTCTGTAATGTCCTTGTCCCCTGAGACAGAGGCTTCTGCCCTGCAAAGCTCCAGGCCGCCCTGTTCCTTCCTGCTCACTCCCTGTGAGGCCCCGATGAGTGAGGCAGCCCCACAATGGTTCTAGGAGGTCGGACTCCGGGCCAGGACACAGTGGCCTTGATAACTGAGCTTCCCCCTCTCAAAGAGAGGGTTGTTTAATCCGAAATCTGGACTCCTGCTCTCCTCCCCTGGCTCGGGCTGGGCCGCACTGAGAAGGTGCATTGGAATGTAGCACTTTGTCTCAGAGGAAATGGGGAGCTTTGGTTTCAGGATTGATTCTTCTCTCTGTTGTCACTTCCACTCTCATCTGATCTGGGAATGTCCCTCAGGGTGGATAAAGTGAGGAAGGGCAACTCCAGCTCCTCCGTTTTCTTCCTGACAAATGCAAAATGGGTTTCAGGCCACAGCGGAGGTAAATAGATCCCTAAAGCTGCCCCACATGCTATTCGGGGCTGAGAGTAAGTTCACATATAGATAGGGCTGTGCAGGAGCAGCCCAGGGGCCCGGCCAGCAGACGGTCACCTCCCTCGGCCATCCCTGATGCACAGACCCACACGGAGGCCCAGGCCCACACTCCCCTGGTGAATGGGAGGGACCAGCAAGGGTACGAGAGCCCAGACCACAGAACCCAAACAGACTCTGGAGGTCAGATGAAGCTCAGGGGAACTTCTGATCTGACCTCTTCATTGGTCCAGAGAAAGGAGACGATGCTCCCAAGGTCACGCAGCAAAGCCAAGGCAGGCCTGAACTAATGTCTCAGTGTCACCAATGTTGTGCTTCCCCTCAGCTGCACACCACACCCCGGTCTCCCTCTCTGCAGCCCAGGGCCCTCCCAGCCACCTGGTCTCTTGGCCTCCCCAGCATAGGCAGGGCTGGATGGGGGCGGGGAGTCCCCAGGGCCCCTGCCTGCCTGGGACGTCTGGGTTCTGTGCGTGAGAGTGTGCAGACTGGCCCTCGAGCTAGGGCAATGGTCCTTGAAGTGCACAAGAGCATTTCTCGTCAATGTGACGTGACCGCAGGGGTCACTTGGAAAGGGCAGGAGAAATGGGTCAA